ATCTGTTGTATTAACAACTTAAATCTTTTGTTTTTTTTAACAATTTTATCTTTTGTTATTCCTCTATAGAAACATTTGTTTAAATTATTTTGTTATATTAAGCAAAAGGAGCTATTCGCGACTTAGGAAGACACCACCTGAGCTTAAAATCAGCCAAAGGGGTGGTTAGCAATCGCATGTCATCTTTTCTTTATTTTTTTGGTGTAAATGTAATCTTTTCTTTGTTCTGTTTTTTTTATCCAACAAAGGCGCATATAAGATTCCGAGAAGGATAATGGACGGTGGACCGACTTATGATCTCTTTGACATAGAAGAGTATTTTTTTAGCTTTTGACGTCTTGGCCTATGCATGGTATCGTCTGTTAATCTTGCAAGATCCATTTTCTCTGTTTCTCCACTCTCATTTTGTGTATCAAAACTCTGTAGATAGCAAAATAATGCGACTCATTCTCCCAACCATAACTGCAAGACAATAAAGTTCGGCAAACAGTGTCCAGCAAAGATCTAGAAACAAACTCTTTTTTTTTTGTTATTTAGCTTAAACGATGCTTATTATTACTATTGTGTTGTCAATAGTAAGATTTATACATAGTGACATTACATTGTTTCAGAAAGTTAAGAATTCCAAGGATAACAAATATCAAACATTTGACTGTTTTTGTTAAGTTTGCAAGGTCCATTTCTGCGTATCTTCCATTCGCATCGTCTGCATCCAAACTTTTCAAATTCTCTGTCCCTCTTTTGTTTATAGATATCAAAAGAATGCGACTCTTTATTCCAACTAAAACTACAATAAAATAACGTACGGCCAAATATATCAGGTTTGAAGCCAAAGGACCCTGATCCACCTGGTGCCAAACTCTTGTATCCAAGATCATCATTCCCCGATTTACAATGGTATCCTAGCGATAAACCACCTCCAAGATCATTATGTATCACCACGGTAGTCGCCTTTTGGGCTTGAGATATAGTTGCACTTATGAACATAGTCATCATGAAGATAGTTATGAGATGTGTTTGAGAATCCATTTTTGCTTTTTGTATCTCTTTGTTTGATTTCTTATAATATTTCTTTAGTTTGTATGTTCTTATATATTGATATTTGAGTATTTAGCCGTTTTGGTAAGGGTATGGTCAAAACTCAAAACGTCTAAAAAGACTTGTAACATTTCAAGCATATTAAATTATATACTCCTTCTTTTTGTCAATAACTGTTTTAATTCCTAGATCAACTTTATGGGACCAAAGTTCTAACTTTAAATCAAACACTCTGACTTGACTAGCACGATCAATCATATTTACTACTGTTGATTTTAGAGGTTTGAAGGGATAATGATATATTCATATATCTTGGGAATTTAGCTAATCTATTGTATTCCTATTCCTAGTTATATTACGATGCAGATGTCTATTAAAATGTTATACTCTGTTGCAATAGTAATTAGGTGATTAGAATGGTCAAAGAAAAAAGTTGCCATTAAAAAATGAACATAGTATAAAAAACTCATTGTAATTCACTCATACGTATAGTTAGCTACTTATTGTATAATCTTTTGTTGATCCTCTGTGGAAACATTTGTTAAATTATTTGTTCTAAAAACATTTGTTTAAATATTTTGTTATTAAGTAAAAGAAGCTATACGCGACTTAAGAAGACACCATTAAAGCCTTAAATCAGCCAAAGGGGTGGTTAGCAATCGCATGTTATATTTCCTTTCTTGGGTCTTTGTATGCAACAAACGCGCATACAAGATTTGGCGAAGGATGGTGGACGGTGGAGTGGACCGACTTTTTTTTTTGCTCATACATCAATTTTTCATTAGCCAAGATATGAATACAAGATTACAACCTCTTACAGATTTTAACCTCACATATAATGTCGAGATTTAGTAACACTTATGAACACTTAGAAGGATTCTATGCTACCTAATCGAGGCCGATATTTCGTGACCGATATTTTACTATTTTCTTTCCCCTATTATTCGCTTTTGACATCTTGGCCTATGATCTGTTTCGTCCTATGCGTGGTATCGGGTCTATCGGCTGTATTTCCAATATCTGTATTGAAATTTGGTTTAGTCATTCTATTATCTTAGAGGAAAAAAGAAAAGAAAAGTGAGAGATAGAGATCGAACTTAAATGTTTTTAAAATCAAGAACTCCTTGCAGAGCAAAGATCAAACATGCTTAATCTTGCAAGATCCATTTTCTATATTTCTCCACTCTCATTTTGTGTATCCAAATTCTGTAGATAGCAAAATAATGCGACTCATTCTCCAAACTATAACTGCAAGACAATAAAGTTCGGCAAACAGTGTCCAGCAAAAATCTAGAAACAAACTCTTTATTTTTTTTGTTATTTAACTTAAACGATGCTTATTATTATTATTGTGTTGTCAATAGAAAGATTTATACATAGTGATATTACATTGTTTCAAAAAGTTAAGAATTCCAAGGATAACAAATATCAAACATTTGACTGTTTTTGTTAAGTTTGCAAGGTCCATTTCTGCGTATCTTCCATTCGCATCGTCTGCATCCAAACTTTTCAAACTCCCTGTCTCTCTTTTGTTTATAGATATCAAAAGAATGCGACTCTTTATTCCAACTGAAACTACAATAAAATAACGTACGGCCAAATATATCAGGTTTGAAGCCAAAGGACCCTGATCCACCCGGTGCCAAACTCCTGTATCCAAGATCATCATTCCCCGATTTACAATGGTATCCTAGCGATAAACCACCTCCAAGATCATTATGTATCACCACGGTAGTCGTTTTCTGGGCTTGAGATATAGTTGCACTTATGAACATAGTCATCATGAAGACAGTTATGAGTTGTGTTAGAGAACCCATTTTTGATTTTGTTTTTCTTATAATATTCTTCAGTCTATATGTTCTTATATAGCGATTTATGAGCAGCCGTTTTGGCAAGGGTATGGTCAAAACTCAAAACGTTTAAAAACATTTGTAACAATTCACGCATATTAAATATGTTCTGTGTTCTCTAATTAAATATTTTCTCTGTTTCAGATCAGTTGATATTTAAGGTTTTTGCACACTTATTTAAAATTGTTAACCTTGATTCATTTTGCCTTTTTGCATAAAATCACATTAGTTAATGCTAACCTAACCAATAAAAATCATAGTACTACATAATAAAAATGGTCAAAAACATCAAATAACATTTAATGTTTTGTTTAGAAATTTGAAAACATAATTTACTTAAACAAAAGTAAAACATCATTTACTTAACAAAAGTAAAACATCATTTAAACTTAAATGCCGGATCCACTTCTTTTTACCTCATCGTAGACTCGTAGTTCCCTTCTTTTGTGGCTAAGAAATTTTGCTGTCGTTCTGCAACGAGGTGGCTCTTCTGGTGTAGTGGTTGGATGTGGCGTGCTTGAAGTATCACTAGATCATCAGTTTCAGTCATATGTAGCTGTAGGAGGTGTATGTTGGCCTCGTCCATTGTTTCTTAGGGTCCATCTGGGCACCATCTTTTTCTGAGTAAAGAAGCAGGTGCTTGACTCTCAGCCGCATTGCTCCTTGGTCACATTTAATCAGTTTGCTGATTTCGACCTCTCAGCTTTCTTCTTGCAACTTTCGTTTTGGTTGCTGATTTGAGTTATTCATACCACCTACTGGTGGATTATTGTATTTCATCGGACACACATTATGTTGTTGTCCTTTAGAACTTGAAGTTTTCAGTTTGCAAAATAAATGAACATAATGAGTAACTTTCTTTAGACAAATGTATTGGTCAAAACCCTCACTATTTTCCAAGTTTAATTGCATCAATTCTATTAAAACTAAAGTAAAAAATAAAACTTTTCTATTCTTAAGTGATTTATTACAATTTCTACATTCCTCTTTTAATTCATTCTAGCTACTTCAATAATTTTATTTATCATATAATCTGACATCATTAATTTGAAATATTAACCATCTATTTTATTAAAATTAAACATCATACTAAAAAAAAATCATCCACTCAGGCGAGTGGGCTAAGCTCTAGTTAATAGTTAAAAACGACTAATAATACCACACATCATGTGAAAGTTGTGAACCATATAACATAATCTCAGAAACTACAATATCTCTAACTCGATCATCTCAACAGAAAGTTGGTTATTCCCAGGATTTTGATACAATAAGAACTAAATCCAATGAATTTGTGACATATGTAGTGAACATAAGACAAAGCATAATCTTAACTAATTCGGCTATTCAAGTCAACATGGACCGCTAAAAATTACGAATGCTTCTTTGGAGGTCCCAAAGGTCTAGTGTCGTCCATCTTTCATAATTAATAAAATCCACCGTAATAACGATCAGCAACCTTAGCTTTCAAAGATTCATCTACCTAATAGATAAACACTGGCAAGTTCATGTCCACATTCTTCCATGACCCACATAGAAGTTCTATCACAACTTGTGGAAAATTAGCCACAAACCTTGCCTGGCATTGTTGTAGTTTAATTATGAAGAGATAACGCTTATAAGTAGATCCATGAATATTCTCGAAGCCAATCCATGAATATTTATGGAGCTAAACCAATATTTAGTGTAGAGCATTGTATGTCTACACACCATTATAACTCATGATACCAATATCGATTCATGTCGAACAGATTGCTATGTGAAAGAGGATGTATCCTAGATGATAAACAATGTGACAATATTGCGAGAAGAATATAAAAAAGAATATGAATAACAAGAAAATAATATAACAAAATAGTCAATTAGTAACGTGGACGATGAATGGTTTATTCCGTGTAACCATTACACAACGATCATATTTGTTAGTAACCAAATTTAGATTATGTATATCACTCGAAGTACTTTTCGCCCATTCATCAAAAATAAATATCTTTTTTTTTAAACACCACATCTATAAATAAAAAAGGATGCCTAATAAAAAAACCATCTCCTTCAAAATCCCACACCTCCCAAAACAAAACAAAACACAACCAAACACCTAAATTTAAAACCCTGTTTTCTTAAATTTAACATCTTCATTCACCAATATAATAACTTTTTTTTCTCACATCTCTCTTCCAAAAAAAAAAGAACGATGGAAAACCTAACAAGAATGATTCTTGTCACAACCCTGGTTGTAATGTTGGTATGGTGTTCGGACGCATCAGCAATGCAAAAGACAAAGTTCGACGCGCCGCTTCTAACTGAAAAAATCGCAACAAATAGATCGATAATTGTCGATATTGAAGGCAAAGGAGACTACACTTCGGTTCAAAAAGCCATTGATGCTGTCCCTGTTGGTAACTCTAATTGGATTATCGTCCATGTCCGTAAAGGAATCTACAAGTACGTTTACTTTTACGAGGTTTAACCTTTTACATTATTTCATATGCCGTATGCTACATATTATATAACCAAGCAACTTGGTTATATATCCTGTAGCATGGATTTACATAAACATTCTGAAATTTGATGATCATTTATATTATTTTGGGGAAAAAGGGAGAGAGTGCACATTCCGGAGAACAAGCCGTTCATATTTATGAGAGGCAACGGTAGAGGAAGAACGGTCATCGAATCTTCGCAGAGTTCGGTAGATAATGTTGATTCAGCCACATTCAAAGTCGAAGCTAATCACTTCGTTGCTTTCGGTGTCACCATCAGGGTATGTAAATAACATAATTGTAGATTTAGAGTGTTTTTATATATTTATTATCATGAAAATGGCATTGGTGTGTTAATGAAATTGCGTGATGAAATATATACAGAATGATGCACCGGTGGGAATGGCGTTCACGTCTGATAACCAATCGGTGGCAGCGTTTGTGGCTGCCGATAAAGTAGCGTTTTACCATTGTGCGTTCTTTAGCTTGCACAACACTTTGTTTGATAACAAAGGTAGACATTACTACCACGAATGTTACATTCAAGGCTCCATCGACTTCATCTTCGGTCGTGCAACTTCCATTTTCAACGTATAACACATTCTCTAAAACCTGGACCGCTAATAACATACCACATTTTAACATAATATCAACTTGTTACAGAACTGTGAGATCTTTGTGGTATCGGACAAGAGGGTGAAACCTTACGGGTCAATCACAGCACACCACAGAGAAAACGAAGAGGAAAAAACGGGTTATGTGTTCATAAGAGGCAAAGTGTACGGTGTCGATGAGGTTTACTTAGGGCGAGCCAAAGGACCTTATTCTCGAGTCATCTTTGCCAAGACTTACTTGTCCAAGACCGTTGTTCCTAACGGTTGGACTAATTGGAGCTACGACGGGTCTACCAAGTTAGTGTTTAATTACTATTTTTTCACGTAATTGGCAAAGTAACTATTGTTCATGTTTATATTAATACTTATTGAGAATTTTGATCAGGGATTTATACCATGCGGAGTATAAGTGTCATGGACCAGGTGCTGATAGACAACGTAGATCAGATTGGGCTAAAGAACTTACCAAACAAGAAGTTGAGTCTTTCTTGTCCATCGATTTTATTGATGGGACTTCTTGGCTCCCTGTTTGGCTTCAGCAAAAGGCTTAGTTCTAGCGTTTGGCTGTTGGATTTGGCGTTTTGCGTTTTGGTGTGGCTAGGAAAATAAAACATATGAAGAAAGAAGAATGCCATATTTTCTACAAGAAGTTACTATACGAAATAGTTCTTTTTAGTGACTGGAAACTCATATATGTCGTTTGCTCACGTTGTATATAAAGAGATTTTCCATTTTGTAATATATATGATACATAAGTTATAAATAATTTTCCAGTTTAAATACTTTCCCGGATGATTAATTGGATTAACAAGCAAAGGAAAACTATTGTGATTTGTGAATACGGTTTATCTTTTTTTTTTAAGTATGGTTATTCGTACATATAAATAATGAATCACAAAGAAAATATAATGTACTTGCGACTTGGCACATAAGTAACTAGCCCTAGCTTAGTTCAAGCTAAGAAGAGATTTTGTATGAATATTTAAAAACCACCGCCAAATCCACCACCTGCACCACCACCACCGCCAAATCCTCCTCCAGCTCCCCCACCTGCACCACCACCAAATCCTCCGCCTGATCCTCCACCAAACCCTCCGCCCAAACCTCCACCGTGACCCCCGCCTGCACCACCACCGAATCCTCCGCCAGCTCCTCCACCGAATCCTCCCCCTGCACCACCACCAATTCCTCCTCCGGCACCTCCTCCAACACCGCCGCCTAATCCTCCACCGCTACCACCACCTACACCACCTCCGAGACCTCCACCGTGTCCTCCTCCCACACCACCTCCTAGACCACCACCTCCTCCAGCACCACCACCAATACCTCCACCGTGGCCTCCTCCTAGTCCTCCACCAGCACCTCCTCCCGCACCACCGCCAATACCTCCACCGGCTCCTGCACCACCTCCAGCACCACCACCAATACCTCCACCGTGGCCTCCTCCTAGTCCTCCACCAGCACCTCCTCCCGCACCACCACCAATACCTCCACCGTGGCCTCCTCCTAGTCCTCCACCAGCACCTCCTCCCGCACCACCACCAATACCTCCACCGTGGCCTCTTCCTAGTCCTCCACCAGCACCTCCTCCAGCACCACCGCCAATACCTCCACCGTGGCCTCCTCCTAGTCCTCCTCCTGCACCACCACCAGCACCGTGGCCTCCTCCTAGTCCTCCACCGGCACCACCACCTATACCTCCACCATGGCCTCCTCCTAGTCCTCCACCGGCACCTCCTCCCACACCACCTCCAATACCTCCACCGTGACCTCCTCCTAGTCCTCCACCGGCACCTCCTCCTAGTCCTCCACCGGCACCTCCACCAGCACCACCGCCAATTCCTCCACCGTGGCCTCCACCAATGCCACCTCCCAAACCGCCACCGCCACCGCCACCACCACCAAAACCCCCACCGGCACCTCCACCGCCACCAATTCCTCCTCCAAAACCTTTACCGCCACCAAAACCAAAACCAAGTCCACCGCCTCCCAACGTCTCCTTCTCAAATCTCCTACACTCCACTACCCCAATTACCACGACTACAAGCATCAAACCCAAAAACCCAAAAGATACTTTCCCCATATCTTTGATATCTTTGGTTCTAGTATCTTTGTTTAATGATCAGTTTACAATTGTTATAGCTCAGTTGAACTCGTTACTAACACTATATATAGTAGAGAGAGCATTTATGAGATATGGTTGAGAAAGACCCTTCAACATCTTTCTTGCACCGCGTTTCTCCGTATGTTACCATGTCCCAATCGCTCATGTTCATTTTCTTCAACGAATGAGTGACACCCAAGTGTCCTTTTTATATAAATCTCCTATTCGTATGACCATAACATGTCATCCTATAATTTAATAACATGTTCTCTTAAGTTACTATATTTCAATATTGCATACATCATTACAGCTTACATATAGCTAACGTGAGAGACAATTGAAAACATATTACAACTAGTTCGAAATACAACTATGCAGAGAGACAGTGGGGGAGATCATGTGTAATTAATTTTCAAACATCATACGTCTCTTTTACATTATAGAGCTTCTCAACTACTTTCGATTTGGTAGCCACATTCAATGCAGAATCCCCACTATCATTTTCATTATTAATCACTCTACTAACCAATATTACTAACTAATATCCTTAATTGGAATATTCACGTAAGCATCCCTTGAATGACATATATGTGTATGGAAACAAATGTGATATAGTATTTAGCTTTTGAGATTTAATGGTTATTTACAGCTCAACATACTAAAACTTATCGGCTTTAATGTCCTTTTCCGATTGGAATTTATTTTTCAACAAAGCGAAAAAATCTTCAAGTATTATCATTGTGGATCAAACTACTTTCGATTTGGTAGCCACATTCAATGCAGAAACCCCACTATCCTTTTCATTATTAATTACTCTACTAACTAATATCCTTAATTGGAATATTCACTTAAGCATCCGTTGAATGACAGATATGTGTATGGAAACAAATGTGATATATTTAGCTTTTGAGATTTAATGGTTATTTACATCTCAACATACTAAAACTTATCGGATTTAATGTCCTTTTCCGATTGGAATTTATTTTTCAACAAAGCGAGAAAATCTTCATTGTGGATGAAACTATCCTGCCGACTTATGTCGTGTGACTACTATAGCATCATCAACATAATGTGCAACCTACTTATTACTATGGAGTACGGAAAATTTCTCGGACAGCTCTGGATCACCGAAATCAAGACATAAACATAACAGAGAGTCAAAGACCAAAACATGAATAAACCTATTTAAAGGTCACAAATATACATGAACATTGAAAGAACCGAAGAGGAATGAGACTCGCAGACCCCGATTGGAGCTAGGTCTAGGAGCTTTTTCTGGTTCTTGTGGCAGCAGTCATCTCAAGCCCGTTTTTTGCTTCTCCGTTCATGGCTTAGATGACCCTCGGGAAGTCTTGGTATATGTGCGGTTTCTGACCGTCTTTGGCAGGGAGTTCTTTGGGTCTCTCTTCCTTTCTTGGTCTTTGCGGCAGAGTGGAGGTGTATAGCGGTTGTTGAGCAATTTTCATGGTATGTACCTCTTCAGCCTCTCTTCTTTGTTCGTTTCGTGCTTTCATTGACGGAGACGATTACAAGCTTTGATGAGTCCATCGGGTACAAGCTACTCTGGAGACGACACGGGAAGACCCCGACATCCGAGGAAACGAGGTCAATCTCTCCTTTCCGTGGTAATCGTCAAAGGTTGAGAACGGTAGTCGATATTCTAGGATTATGAGACCGATCTAGCGGAACGCGCCGGGGACATGGGTTGAGCGAAGCTAGTTAGGAAACATTAGAATAGAGCGATTTTGTTCAAGTCGAGTTTGTAATCGAATCTATATGTCCGTTTCGGGTTGATTTACAATATTTATTTATTATTTTTTTTTAAAAAAAAAAAACATTGAAAGAAATGTAGGGTTATTCTCGTAAATTACAAGAACATCATTCTCAAGCGGATTGGGCTTTTTCCGCTAAAGATTATTGAAAAGCCCATTAAGCCTTATTAAGATTAATCAGACCAAACTGATTAGGAGGAAAAAGTTGTCTATTCCAATTTTTAATTTAAAAAAAAAAACTAAACTTCCCCCCGGGAAAACAAAAGTCACTGATAAAACCCCCGGCGGCGATTTCAGTAAACGGCAAAATCTAGGGTTTTGAAATCAACCCCCTCTCTCTGAATGGGGCATTCAAACGGAGACTCTCTCATTTCGGAAGAAGAACAAGACCCTTTTCTATCCTTCATCGATTACGCCAGAGCGGTGATTTCACCGGAACAAGACGAAATCGATAACGAGGACAATCCAAGCGAAGCCACGACCGAGTTAACCGGTCCGGGTTGGGGATGGATCGCCTCGCGTGTGTTGAAAACATGTACCGCTTATTCGAGCGGTGTCACTGCCGCCATTCTCTTATCCGATCTCTCTCAGGTGGAAAAGATTCGGTTTTGATGAGGCAGTAACGTTGGTTTGGTGTTTAAATATTTACTCTCACAACAGAAAAGTTTGTTTCTTTAGATTCCCTCTTTTAGGCATGGCATGAGCAGAAGTAGTAATAGGTGGAAAGGTTCAATTTTTTATGAGGCAGAGTGTGATTGTTACCAATTATTTGCTCTGAAATGTATGAATTTACTGGGAGAACAGTAAAGTTCGTATCTTTATTAAAAAAAAAAATTATTTTTGATTGGTAGGCATGGCATGAGCAGAACAAGCCAGGGATATTGAAGAAGAAGCCTGAAGTCATTGATCAGTTGAATAAGAGTCATAGAAGAAGGAGACTTGCTAATACTGTTACTATAGATTCGATTTATGAGAAGAATTTTCTGTCTATGGATAGTGTTTTGGAAGCTGTTGTTATCAAGGCTGATCTTCTTCCTGGTATCTTTTACAACTTCTGATAAGCATTTTTCGTTTCTTGTGTGCTTGCTACTGTGGTTTATTGATTTGGAGATGATTTTTTTGTTTCAGGTACAAATATATTCATGCTTACATTAGGGGATTTTTGGAGCTCCAATACTATTGATCTTTATCTACATCGCAGGTATGCTTTTTTTTTTTTCAATATGAGATGAATCATAATGCTTGTCTATGTATGTAAACAGATTCTTTTAAGTTTGTAATGCTTTATTGCTTTGTCTGTATGTTTATTTAGTAGAGATGAATAATAGTAATATTTTATTGAGATGAATTGAGTGGTTGTTTTTTGGTGTCTTTATAGAGATTCTTATAAGCTTATGATACTTTATTGCGTAGATATTATGAGTTGGTGGAAACTCCAAATGGGATACTTAGGAAAGGCAGAGAGGTTTTGATCACTGGATGCTACCTTCGTACCGCTAGAGAAGGATGTGGCACTCCACGGTTACTTCCAACAGAATATCTTGTCATTTTGCTTGATGAGGTTATTGTTTTTATAGCAGTTTTAGAAATGCAGTCTTGGATTTTCCTGTAATTAGTTCCGATTCTTATTATCTGACTCTCGAATATTGCAGGACGAAGAAGAGGATGCAATCTTTATAGTAGCTCAACTTTGTTCCGATACTTTCTCATCTGTTTCTCTTGATGATTTCAACAATGGAACTTCATACTCTTTGTATGCTAGGTAAGAGACTTATAAATGCGTCACTCAATACTTGTCTTGGTAAAATAACTTACCATGACTTAACTTCTATTGGCTTTTTATTCTGAAGTATAATTGCATTTTCTCCTCTTTGTTTGAGAACAGGATTGAATCTATAGGTCCTTTGGAATCTGAACTCAAGTTTAGTACTGCGCACAGAAGGCAAATTACACTTGTAGATGCTGACAACGTTAGATTAAACTTTATCTTGTGGGGAGACCAAGTCATAGTGGCAAACCTCATGAGGTAAGCTCCTTGCTTGATGCTTCTATCTCAACTTTTTAACTAACCCGTTTCTTTTTAAAAAAAAATCATTTTCAGTGTGGGAAGTATGCTTGGGCTTGAGAGGCCTTATATTTCTAGTCTAGAAGAAAGTGCAATGGAAGGAAAGGATGAGTTCTGCCTTGAATATGGTAGCGCAACACATCTCTATATAGTGCCATCAACCTTACAAGAGGAAACGGTATATTGATTTGCTTTTTTTTTTTGTCTTGGGCCAATTTTTCATTGGTTTTCTGATATTACTAATGTGGTTTGTTCTTCAGGTTTGTGTATCATTGTCCCAGAATCAGTGTCAAGGATCTAAACTGCTTGGTTCAGTAGGAGTTTCGCAGGTGACATTGCCACGTGACGCCGAGGGGTCTATAGACTTCAGTAATTACCCTTTTCGGGTGAGTGCACCTCTAGTGTTTACCTTTTTGCTTGTATTTTACTTGTGTTCGTAACCATAGTAACTTAGGTAATAAACCAATTGTTGAAGAGATTTTAAAGATTATTTGAGAATCTATTGCTTTGCTGCATCTGTTAATATACCTCTCCTTGGTTGAAGTTCTGCAGACGAATATAACAGACTGTCGTGACAAAACCACTGGGATCAGTCTCTATGGTGTTGTAACAGATATATACTGTGAATCAAATGCCACTGGAGTGGTCTTTTCTTTGAAAATCGAGGACACAACTGGAGCAATATGGGCTAGGCTCCACTTTAATAGTCACTGGTATCAAAATCATTTCATTAATTCTAAAAACGTCATCTAAAATATCAATTTGGATGAGTTCTTTTTTTCTTTGGGTAATGATTTTCAGGTCGTTGGGAAGGTTAGGACTTGGTCATGTCGTTTACGTTTCTGGCTTATCCTGCAAAAGCACAAAAGAGAATTTGTAAGCGTCTCTCTTACTTTATTGCTTCATTACTTTTAGCTTAGAGATTAATGCAACTCTTGTTAAGCAGCCTTGAGGTGTTATGGCATGAGAAGGACGAGAAAGCTACATTCATCAACCTTAGCTGCTTACCTGCATTTCTAACCTCCTCTTGTCTTCACAAAATCTCAACCCTCTCCCAAATCTCAAAACAGAGAAAACCTGAAATCAACGTTCGTCTCAGTTTTCTATAT